GGTGCCGTGAGTCACACAGGCTGAGGCCCTGGAAGGGAAGGGAGGGCTGAGGTCCGCCCGGGCAGAGGGAAGAAGTGCCCGACCCCCCAGCCCCGCCCCAGAGACTCACGGCAGATGAACGTGGGGCAGCAGTCGTCCTTCTCCCGTGTGCGGACCAGCTCCTCTCCCGGCCCGCAGTGGGGCGGGCTCTGGGGGCACCTGCTCGCGTTGCAGACTGCGGGAGAGTTGCAGGGCTGCCTGGGTGCCCCTGCCCGCCCTCCTCTGGCTGTCCTGGTTCCCAAGTTGAAGGACAGAGGCAGTCCCCACAGGAGCTGACAGCTCTCTGTGGCCCTTCTGGGCCCCCACACTTTGTCACCTCGCTGGTCCTCCCCAAGTCCCTGGGTGGTACTGGAGCAGACCAGAAGTTGCCAGCCTCATTTTTAGGTGGAAAAATGAAGGACCCAGAGGCCTCTATACCTAGCAGTCCAGCTGCGGTCTGGCTCGGACCCGTGCCCCTCCTCTGCCCTGCAGACCCTCCTCTACTGTCTCCCTGGCCCCCGAGGTGCAGGGCTCACCGCAGAGAGTCTCTGGGCAGCACGGGTTGTCAGCCTGGGGCCTGGTGATGGCCACGAAGCCGGCCCGGCCGCATTCCACGGCCTGGCCCCAGGTCTTGCACTGCACGGGGACACACTGCACTGACACGGAGCCCTCGTCACACACGCAGTCCTGGCAGTTGCTGACCCATCGCTCTCCAGGCTGGAACAGATCAGTCAGGTCCCCTGGGGCTCCCGGCTGCAGCCCCGGCCTCTCAGGCCGCATCCAGCAGCAGGCCAGGCCCCAGCGCTCAGTACGTTGGGTCACCTCTCGGCCTCCCCACCTCTGGAGTGGCCGTGTGACAGGGAAGCGGCTCACACTGGGATGCCCCCCACCCCGGGCAGAGCTGGCCTCTCTGAGATGGGACCCTCCCTCCCTCCCTCCCTCCCTTCTTCTGCTCAAGCCAGGAGTCAGGCAGCTGGGGGCAGAACACTCACGAATTTGGGAGACCTGTCTGGTCCCACGCAGGCTGGGAGAGAATGAGAGAAAGGGGGGTCACTGGGAGTGCTGGGGTTGGGGCCCAGCTGGCAGAGGTCACAGGCCACAAGGACATGTCCTCGCAGACCTGGCCTTAACCGAGGCCTCTTCTTGCTGCTGGGGACAGAACCCCCCCAGAGACCTTGAGGGGTGTCACGGACAAGGCGACTCAGCAGGACTCACGGCCACATCATGGTGCCACAAGTTGGACTGGGTGGGAGCACGGCCAGGATGTCCCAGCACCCAGGCCAGGATCTGCCCGCCCTGGGGTCCCCCCGCTATCCCTCTGCAGGGCGGTGCTTACGGCACTCGGGCACACAGATGTCCTTGTGTGGGCTGAACAGGATCTGGCCGTCAGGACAGAAGCAGCCCTCCACCAGCCCTCTGCTGGCTGGGCCCTTGGCTCCTACAAGGTCAGGAGGGCAGTCTGAGGAGGAGGGCAGTGAGCATGGTGGAGTGCTGGGTTGCCCCTGGGGTTAGGGGCCGGAGGTCAGCGTTGGGGAATGGTGCCTCGAGATTCAGGCTGGGGGTCCCAGATCTGTTGTGGGTCCTCTCCTGGCTCCCTGAGACCCTCCAGGCAGGCCTGGGAGGCCCGCTGTCCCCACCATCCACGCCTTCTGCCACGCTCACCTGAAGTCGCAGGACTGGGGGTACACTGGGCCACATGGTTTATACACCTTGGTGGGCGGGCAGGCGAGGTCTGGGGGCACACAGATGGATGTCAGGTGGGCCGAGGAGGCCAGAGCCCCCGCTGCAAGCAGCGCTCCACTCACCGCACAGCCCGCGGGTGGCATTGCGCCAGTCGGGACACACGCCCCGGGCGCGGCAGAGCGCTGCGTAGGCCTCCAGGCTCTGGCAGGTGTCCCCACCGCAGCTGTCGCTGATGCAGGTGCTGAAGAACAGGCCAGGTGGGATGAGGCGGTGGCACTCGGCGAAGATCCTGCGGGCGGGGCTGGTCAGGGGCCGGAGCAGAGGCCTCAGCGAGGGGGCTGCCCCAGGACCACCAAGCCCGTGCAGAGGACTCACTGGCCAAGAATCAGCTCGCAGGTGGGGGCCTCGGGGCACGGGATGGAGGTGGGAGTGGTGGGCAGGGGCTGGCCGGTGGGCGCCAGGCAGCCCTCCTCGCCGCTCTCGGGGACCAGCCAGGTCCAGGCCATGTCCTGGCAGCTGGGGGCCGTGG